AGGTGGGTCGGTAACCCGAGGACACCAATTTAAAATAGTTGCTAAAATAAACAGAGGGGAGGTGAGGAGAAATGTTTTCACACTGCGAATTGTTCAGATCTGGAATGCACTGCCTGAAAATGTGGTGGAAAATGATTCGATAACAGCTTTTAACAGAGAAGTAGGTAATTATTTGGGGAAGACAAGTCTGCAGGCCTATGGCGAGGGCGTGGAGGGAAGGGGTTGAATTGGATAGCTATTTTCAAAGAGCTGGCACAGACATGATGGGCCGAATGGCCTACTTCTGTTCTGTATAATTCTAGGATTCTATGATTCTATGATATCAAGTGTAAAATTTTTTATTATTTACCTCCATAATGTCCACTCTGAGATGTTGCTTTTCAATACTGCATGCTGTCCCTAAGTAAGATCCTAGCATGCTTAATCATTTCTCATAGCTCATTCCTCTAACACTGGTATTATCCTCATTGCTCTCCTATGCCAAGCCTCTAGGGCCTCGGCAGCTCCCTTATGTCATAGCGGCCAGTCTTGCATACAAACTAAGTGCAGCCTGAACAAGCACCAAACATGAATGTATACACAGTTCGTATTGAGTCTTTCCTTTATTTCATTGACAGGATTTCTATACATTCAATAGAAGCATTACATTTGCAGGTGTATGTTTTAGTATGTCACAAATATGAGGCACTGTGTGCCGGCTATACTGTGAAGGATTCAGGTGTGGCCCTACTCAGCAGGCAATCTGTCTGTTTCCATACAGTTACTCCCAAAACAACAGCACATTAATATTGATGGGCAAACAGACAAGAAACAACTGAGTAAACGTCAGCATTGTTTAAACCTAACCATCACACAATGGTCCGATATGTAATAGAAGATTATCACCACCTTGAACCTTGTTTGGAACCAGTTTTGTCAGAAACCAATAACAATGAAATTACATTTGTATAGCGTCTTTCACGTCGGGAGAACGTCCCATGGCGCTGGACAGTCAGTGTTTCGGACCTGAGCTGGAGGTTGCGATCGGGGAAGGTGGAGGGCAGGGGGGAAAGAAGGGTGATCGAAAGCACAGTCAAAGAGGAGGGTCTTGAGGTGAGTCTTGAAGGAGGCAAAGGAGGGGGCGATATGGAGGGACGAGATGGAGTTCCAGAGGGGGGGGGCAGAATGGCAGAAGGCCTGCCTGCCAATGGTGGGGCGTGCGAGGCGGGCAACGTGAAGCACACCAGAGCCCACTGAGCAGAGGGAGCAGGCAGATTGGTAGAGGGTTAGGAGGTCGCAGAGGTAGGGAGGAGCAAGGCCATGGGGGCTTTGAAAGTGAGGACCAGGATCTTGAACTGTATCCTCTGTGTGATCAGAAGCCAGTGGAATTGGGCGAGGATGGGACTGATAGGGTCACAGAGCCTGAGGCCGGAGAGGAAATGGGCTGCAGAGTTCTTGTGATCTGCGGCCTATGGAGAGGCCGACAAGCAAGGAGCTTGCACAGTCAAGCCTGGATGTTATGAATACGTGTATGAGGATCTCAGCAGCCTGCGGTGTGAGATATTGGTGGAGCCGGGCGATGTTGCGGAGGTGGGAGAAGGCAGAGCAGGTCATGGCACTGGTGTGGGGTAGAAAAGATAATTGAGGGTCCCCAAGGTTCCGGACTGGCTTAGTAAGGTGGAGTGTGCATCCATGGATGGTGATGCTGTCAGCGCCTGAGGTGAGCAGGCGCTGGCGGGAGCCGATCAGGAGAGCCTCAGTCTTGTTGATGTTCAACTGAAGAAAGTTAGCTCTCATCCAGACTTGATGTCTGACAGACATTGGTCCTGAAGTCAAGGGTGGAGGCAGAGAGGTAGAGTTGGGTGTCATCCGCACACATGTGGAAGTTGACCCCATGTCTGCGGATGATGTCACCAAGAGGGAGCATTTAGATGTTGAAGAGGAGGGGACAAAGGACAGAGTCCTGAGGAATGCAGCACAAGACGATGCGGGGGCTAGAGGAGAAACTGTTTGTGGAGATGAAGTGGAGGCGGTGTGAGAGGTACGATCTGAACCAGTCAAGGACAGAGCCATGAAGGTTGAGGTGAGAGGAGAGGTGGTGGATGAGGATAGAGTGGTCAAGGGTGTCGAAGGCAGCAGATAGGTCAAGGAGGACGAGGAAGCAGAAGGAACCCTGGTTGCAGATGGACAGAATATCATTTATCACTTTGACCAGGGCTATTTCTGTGCTGCGGGCAGCACAGAAACCCGATTGGAAAGGTTTGTGAAGGGAGTGGTGGTAGGGGAAGGAGCGAAGCTGGGAAGCGAAGACTCATTCCAGGATCTTGGAGAGGAAAGGAAGGTTGGAGATGGGCCAGTAATTTGAGAGCAGGAATGGGTCCAGGGAGGGTTTTTTAAGGATAGGAATGATGATGGCCTTTTTTAAAGGGGTGGGAATGGTGCCAGTGGACAGCGAAAAGTTTATGATGTCTGTGAGTAGAAGGATGAGGAGGTGGAGCTGGGAGGTAAGGAGGGGGGTAGGGATGGGGTCGAGGGAGCAGGTGGTCAGTTTTATGCAGGTTATAGTGGTGATGAGAGAAGAGTGGGAGGTTCGAATGTGTGGAGGGAGGTATGGGTAGGGGCCGGGTTGAGAGGGGGAGATGGGGAGTGGCAGCTGAGAGTATCCCCTTGACTTTGGATTTGAGCATCGCTTCACAGCTGACATAAATGATCAAGAATGATTTTTAAATAGAATGTACTCTAACGTGTTCAAACTGTGGCTCAATTATCAAAGAGGTCCCTAATCCACTGATCAGTGGTTTGTGAACTTTGATCATACATTGCCTCAGCACAACTGGATGAGTCAAAAAACTCGTGGAGTCCTGTAGCTTAATGGTATTTGCTTCGCAAGTGAGAGACCTGGATTCGATGCCCAGCGGGGTGAAACCTCGGGCAAGATTCCTTACTCCACACGCCTGATAATAATCCCCCAATAATAAAATTGGTCACTTCAATCAACGACTATGTGTGGGACACTGCTGTGCACAATTGGCTGCTGCGTTTTGCCCACAAATATACAGTCAATTCAATTTACAGTATAATCTGTAAAGCGCTTTGAGATGTCTCGAAGAAGTTTTAAAAATGCTATATCAAATGCAAGAATTATTATATTATATATAATATATATTCAGGAATATATATAATATATATATTCTGCTCCTCAATTTAGCTTTTAGATATTTCCATTATTTTGTTTTTACTTGTTACAATACATTCTATATTAGCCAACCCATGGCCCACGAGCCATCAAGAAGTGGCCCGTTGAATATTCTCACTTGTCTAGATAATAATAATAATCCTTGCATTTGATATAGCTGGCACCTTATCATGTCATTGAGATGTCTCAAAGGGCTTCACAGAATAAACTGACCAAATAATTTTTTTTTTTGAAGGGATCATTACCCTAGTAAAGCATCTCACAAACAGTTGTGAATTGAGTGACCAAATCATTATTTAATTTTTTTTTCTGAAGGGCTTATTATCCCTGGAAAAGCGATCCACCAATCAACTAACAGCCAGGTTCCTACTTACCGTTGATAAACAGAAGAATGTGGAATAAGGAAACTTGCCCAAGGTTTCGCACTGCCCGGAAATCGAACCTGAGTCCTCTCACTTTCGAGGCAAGTGTTCTAACCAATACACTACAAGACCAGGTGAGTCTGTATTAAATCAATATTTTGTTTACTGTAGGTATTGAGTAGCCATATTTATTGTGGAGCCATAAATCAAGAAATATTCAATTAAGAAAAACATACAGACTTGGTAGCTAGACTGGCCTGTTCCTGTTCAGTAACATTTTATGATTTCTATGAAATTCATGGCAAATACAATGGCAAAGCAATGGTGAGCACAGGGTGAGGATGACTGGGACAGGGACCGGCAAAGTTCTAGTTTTTGGAATCACAGATGTGCACATTGTTTATAAATGCCTGAGAGGAGGAAAGATCACTTCTTTCGATACCATAAAGTGCACATTCCATTCCAGACACAGGGAAAGTTTATATGCATAGATGGCATGTATATGTGAAAGTCTTGGTGCGATTTGGATACTCTTGAGCACGGTGGTGGGTTTCTGCATATATCAGACATCCGACTGACCAAAAAATAATAATCATTGCATTTTATAGAGCACCTTATCTCATCATTGAGACCTCTCAAAGCGCTTCATAGAATATACTGTAAAGTGGATTGATTGTGTATTTTGTGGGCAAAAATATAATACCAATTGTATGATGAGGCAAAATTTAATATAGGATCAGTGGCATTCAAGAAGATAGGTGCCAATTACTAGATAAGCCGAGGTTTGGCAGCTGGTAAATAAAGCTAAATGCACTGCAATGTATATTGGAACAAGAAACAGTAACCAACAACAACAAAATCAACAACAAAATTACATTTGTATAGCGGCCTTTCACATCGGGAGGACATCCCAAGGTGTTGGGAACATCTGTAACATGATGGCTGTTGGGCAGCGAAAGTGGAGAATGAAAGGATTTGGGTCAGAATATGAATCTATCACCAGAGGTTTCTAGACAATGTGAAGCTGTTGGCAATAAAGTTAATCAAATTGTTGGGGTCCAGGATAGGGTAGACTCAGTGTTGTCTTCTGACAGAACGAACGGAATGGTCTTTATGGTTCCAGGCTTTGTTAGTAGATCCTCCTTAATTTTCAAAGTATTGTACCCGATAATTGTATTTGTTCTGTTTTATGTGCTTGTTTATCCACCTGCAAATCATTTATAACAGAAACAGTTGGCAGCTTCATCAGTATCTGTGTGTGTGGGGGTGGGGGGAGAGGTAGTTTACAAAGCAGTCCAGAAGGATGTGACCCTATCTATTATTGAACAGTGCATTTATCATTGGTGCATCAGTAACCTGGTAAACTTGGATTATTTGCCACCGAATGTGTTTCCCTCCTCCTTATTGTTAATATTTAGCCTGTGTGTGTGTGTGTGTGTGTGTGTGTGTGTGTGTGCTGGGGTGTGTGGGTGTGAGGAGGCGTTATATTGATGTGGTGTGTGCAGTGTTGCACTGGGAGCCCTGGAGCCTGGGCAGACACTGTCAAACACTCATTTGACTATCAAACGAAGCGGGGACCAGTTGCTGTTGGAGCACCGACACACAAGGGGCTGAGCAGGGCTCTCTCTCTATGGGACACGATGCCTTGATGGATCCCTTGGGCAGCAGACTTCACCTTCTGCTCTACCAAATATGCATCGTGACAATAGGTAAGGGGGAAAAAAGCATTATTTTTATCATTCGAGGAAAAGTTCCTAACTTAAGAACCACTAAAAAGTGGAGATTCCGTTCTTTTTATTACGTTTCGGTCTCATCACATTTCTGAACTTTGTCTGACTTGAAGTGCTAGGTTTATATGATATAATTATGCAACAGATGTGAAACGGCATTGCCTCTCTCTGGGAGGGTGCACTGCAAGGAAGACTTTATTTTTGCAAGGACTCCCTAAAGTCTACGATGAGTTGCAACGACATTAGTAACAATAATAGAAGTGTTTAATCGACACAAAAGTCATGCCTGCGTGGTGGAAATCAGTTTGATTTTGGAATGAAACATTTTTTTGTCAAACTGAACTAAGCGATCCAGACCCCAAAAAAAGGCAGAAATGTAGAGTGGATGGTTTGTGTTATAATTTAGGATTAACAGGACTGTGTTGACTGAACCAGGCTGATCCAGGGCAGATACAGAGATGAGAGATACGTGGGTTGTTTTAAAGTCTTAAGACTTTAGGCAAATAACTACTTTGAATCTTTCCAAACATATTTCATGTCATTAACCACTTTTTTTCCATACTTTTCCAAGAAGAATGTTTCTTAAAAGCTAAACCCGTACATCTCTGATCAGATCTTTGTCACAAAATTAATCGATTTGATACAAAAGCACTTTGCATCTTAAGAAGGTTCAGCCTTGAATCTGCCACTTGAATTAGATCAGTTCAGGAGTTCTGAGTTTGTTGGTCGGGGCTGGACTCTGAACAGTTGTCATATTTATTATTATTACTTATATAATGTAAGGGAATGGCTCATATGAATAACCTGTTTGGGTGGAGGTGACCTTGACTCCCCAGTACAATTTCTGCACCTTCAGGGTGTGTTGGTAATTTCACCCATTAAATGACAACAACTGGTGGTGAACATACAGAAGCCTGAGCAGGTGATCCCTTTGCCTATGGTTATGACAGCTGGCGAGTGAACCACATGAATATTGTATATTACCTTTCAGAAAATATCTCTACAATTAGATACTAAACACCTGGTATTTTCATGGTTAAAAACGAGGTCCTCAAAATTAGCATTCTGGATATTTTTTGGAAAGTTCTTAAATTCTATGCTAATTTGGTTTAAGAATCACAGGAAACCAACTTAAGAGTGAATTTAAATATTTTCAATTGATCCAGGATATGAAATCTTAAGACAGTATGGCTGTGAGAAATGTCTTGTCCATGTTGATTTCCCAAAGTGCTGAAAACCCTTTACCCATGGATATACTTCTTACCCTGAAACAGTTACTGTGCCGCATTAAATGAAACCTGGACGTCTTTGTATACTGATCAATTGTTATAAAAAGGAAATTCAAAAGACAGCTGAAATCAGTGCATTTAGGCAAATGCAGAGAGTGACTGCTTATATTTACTGTATTTGATGATTTTAATGGATTGGGACAGCAAAATATAGGTGCTTGTTCAGTACCTCATGGATCAAGTGTCTTGAGACCCATCAGCAAAAGCTGGTTTTACAGATAGCGAGACAGGTTCTATAAGCAACTGACAACAGACACAAACATTTTTATGGACTTATTCTTAAGACCGTTGAAAGCCATTGTCTTAAAATTTAAGCTCGTGAAGGATGTTGGAAAATTCTTAAATTCAATCTTCATTTGGAAACTGGGAGTTTTTTAAGAACTAATTTTAAGAATTTTTTAAATTCTGTGCAATCTTAAAATTATGAGACCATGTCCTCAAAGTTAAGACCATGAGAAATATTAGGCCTCTGCTTGCCTCTGCTTTAGTGCTTTAAATGCAAAGTCACTGAGTTCATGCAAAGTATATTTTCAAATGAACCTTTTCTTAACCCTTTTCAATAATCTCCCTTCCTCCTAAAGGCGATGATTCACACAGGGTAATGCTGCATGGTCGCCAGCTTCCCTCATCCTTGCCCTGTTCACTATCTCCCATCCCTCAGAGGATCGAGTTTCAAATCCCCATCCTCACTTTTAAAGCCCTCCACGGTCATGCTCCTCCCTACCTCTGTGACCTATTAACACCATATCAACCTACCTGTTCCCTCCACTCAACAGGCACTGACCTGCTCCATGTCACCCGCCCCTTTAGTGGTCAGGCCTCCAACTTTTCTGTCCCCACCCTCTGGAACTTCATCCTAGAAATCCTTTGCCTTGAAGCCTCTCTTGTCTCTTTCAAAGTGCATCTCAAGTTCTTCCTCTTTGATCGTGCCTTCAACTACCCTTCTACCTCCAACCTTGTCCTCCACCTTTCTCGATTCCAATGCCCAGCTAAGGCACAAACCCTTAATCCTTAGCTCTGGGACCTTACCCTTTGTGAGGGGCGCTATATAAATGCAGATTGTTGTTGTTAACTTCCCAGTGCCTTTGGACTTAAATAAATATAAATACTGAATGTAAATGTAATTTGTTATTACTGCCCAAGTGGTCATTCATCATATGTAAACACAAACAGGCAACAGGCTTCTCAACCATGAGAGGCATCACAGCTTAACTCTATTCTCTCCTCAGCTGGCAGCCAGCAATTTATCCATGTGCACTTTCCAGCATGAGTCACTGAACTGTGACCATTAATCCTCTGATGTTGGTGGTGGGGTTGGGGGAACAGCAAGATAGCTTTGGGATTTAATTGGCTTCAAGGTGATGTGCTGGCAATGTAAATTCAGAATTGGGTCAATCATCTTGACCGTCTCGACAGTCCAGTGCTTGAGCTAGGTCCTTAAATCTCCAAAGCAGTGTTGAGAATGGACCAATCAGTCTGACTCATCGGCAGGATTTTGGGGAACACGACAGTTACTGGGAGCAGGGAATCTTCCCACACAGCTTTTGTTCATCAAGCAAGCCAAAGCCTTAATATGTAAGGTGGTCCTAGAGGAACAAGCATTGACAAAATCTTGACAGTAAGTGTTCTTAATGAGAGGCAGCAGGGGTTTTGCTGGTCAAGCTCCAGTAGTAACCTACCCCTGCCAACCTGTGCCTAATACTTTCCGGGAGGAGGTGAGCAGGGTGTGCCTCTTTAAGGAGAGACACCACGCACTTCATTCCAAACAATGCAAATTTCCATGCATTTGTGAAACTCCCAGTGGTTTAGTTTGATACTCATAAGCATTGTGATGGGTGATTGTGTGTGTATCAGATACCCGGATCACAAAAATAAAACTGGCCAGGAGCAGGAAATAATTTTTCTGATTATCTTGAATTTCTTGCTATTCTCTTGTTAAAACAAGTGTTGTTGAAAGAAAGAACAAACTTTTACTGTTTATGCTATAATAATACTTCATAATTTTGAGCTAATCTATCAAGACATCCTCTAACCTTCTAGTAAAAAGAGCCTTAACTTCATAAATGTTTCACAACGTTTATGCCTGAAAGGGTGGTGGAAGCCGATTCAATAACAACTTTTAAGAGAGAAATAGATAATTATTTGGGGAAGACAAGTTTGCAGGGCTATGGGGAGAGACTGGGGGAATGGGATTGGTTTGGATAGCTCTTTTCAAAGAGCCAGCACAGACACGATGGACCAAATGGCCTCCCTCTCTGCTGTATCATTCAATGAATCTATGAACTGAAATCTCTCATCCTTTGTAACATCCCATGTATCTTTGTGATGCCTTGTTTATATATCTCTCCATTTAGTTGTAGGCTGGCATTGTGTGTTCAAACAGGACATCAATCTGAATCACTATTATTTGACTGTGGTAACTCTGTGTCCATCATTCCCACCAGGTGCTTGTCAATAATGAAATAAAGCTGCCCCATGCATTCTCCCTAGTAGTGGGTGGAAAAACAGATCTGGAGTACATTTCCAGAGAGTTGCATGTTTCGGGGCTTACATTATGTTAGAAACTCTTCTAACTCTTATCACAACTGTTCAAAAACTCCCTTAAAAACTTATGTCTTCAGCTGCATCTTCAGTTATCTCCCACTACCCCCATCTTCTCCTGTGTCCCACCCTTCTCAGGCACCCATTCTGTCTCTGGCTAATTGTTGTAATTTCTCTCTTGCCATTTAAGATGGAATTTGAACTGTTTGATGTGCCTTGCACAATAAACATGTACTTTATCCTATGTATAATATTTTGTATGTAAACCAAACAAATGGAGTAAAAGGAAATATTTTTGTGGCTTGTAAAGAATGAATCTTCATTGCAATGGGAATATTTACAGAGACCCATCATGAGTATTCACAGTCTTTTGATTCTCGTCGCCAGGTACTTCAGGAACAGTAAAGGTGACAGTGCCAACCCAGCTGATCTTGGGCACTGTCGGGCAGTCTCTCCTGCTTCCTGCAAATTACACCACTGACTCTGGGGACCATCAGGTGCAGATAACCTGGACTTTTCAAAGCCAGTCTTCGGGCTCTATGCTTCTGGTCACAGCTACCAATAACGTTCTGACTCATGATATGGAACATGGACACAGGTTTTTTCTGTCCCCTACCAGTGCATCCCTTTGGATTAATCCAGTCGAGTTACGCGATGAGGGTGAATACACTGTTAAAGTGACTGTCTCTGGGGTGAAAGTGGCTTCAGCCAGTCGGCAGCTCACTGTTCATGTCAATGGTGAGTATGTTCTATATTGCATCATCAAATCTTTCCAATTAAAAAACAAACAGTTGTTTTTTGCCGTCACAGTATTTGGATTTTACTGAGGACTTGATGAAACTGGTTTCATATACATTTCAGAAGTGGGAGGGGGGATAGTAGCTGAGTTGTAAAAATATGTGCTATTATTATCTTTGTTTATTATTCCTAATAAATATGCTGTATTCGAATATGTCCTATTACACTGTACTGTATTGACTAACAAAGATTTGGATAACACCCGGAGGGAACAACCCCTCACATTTTCTGTCCCTTTCATTATCTGCCCCTCCCCCCTCGCCGCCCCTCCCCCCTCGCCGCCCCTCCCCCCTCGCCGCCCCTCCCCCCTCGCCGCCCCTCCCCCCTCGCCGCCCCTCCCCCCTCGCCGCCCCTCCCCCTCGCCGCCCCTCCCCCCTCACCACCCCTCCCTCTCGCCGCCCCTCCCTCTCACTGCCCCTGACCCTCACTGCCGCTCCCTCCCTGAGCCCCCTCACTGCCCCTCCCCTTCACTGCCCCTCCCTCCCTGAGCCCCCTCACTGCCCCTCCCCTTCACTGCCCCTCCCTCCCTGAGCCCCTCACTGCCCCTCCCCTTCACTGCCCCTCCCCATCACTGCCCCTCCCTCCCTGAGCCCCCTCACTGCCCCTCCCCCCTCACTGCCCCTCCCCCCTCACTGCCCCTCTCCCCTCACTGCCCCTCTCCCCGCACTGCCTCTCCCTCGCTGCCCCTCTCCCTCGCTGCCCCTTCCTCTCACTGCCCCTTCCCCTCACTGCCCCTCCCTCCCTGAGGCCCCTCACTGCCCCTCTCCCTCACTGCCCCTCACCTCACACTGCCCCTCCCCCTCACTGCTCCTCTCATGCCCCTCCCCCTCACTGTCCCTCTCACTGCCCCTGCCCTTCCCTGCCCCACTCACTGTCCCTCCCCCTCACTGCTCCTCCCTCTCGCTGACCCTCCCCCTTACTTCCCCATTCACTGTCCCTCTCAGTGCCTCTCCTCTGACTCCCCGGGTACACAGTGACAGTATAGAGTTCTGACGCCCTCGGTACACAGGGGGAGTATACTAATTTAACCTGGTACACAGTGAGGATTACTGACCTGTACTATATGTCTAACACATTGACTGTGAGATGCTCTATTTTGCAGTTCCCGTCTCTAAGCCCGTGGTATGGAGTGAGCCAGTGTGGGGAGCCGTGGAGAACGTGGATAATGCCACTCTCAACTGTTCTGTGGATAACGGCACTAAGATTGTTTATCAGTGGCTAAAGGCAGGGAAGCCTATACGGCCCAGCTCTCGGCACACCTTTTCTTCAGACAACAAGACACTGTTCATTTCACCCGTTCTGAAAGAGGATCTCAGCAATTACAGTTGTGTGGCCAGGAACCCAATCAGTGCAAATGAGAGCGAACCAGTCACACCTAACATTTACTGTAAGTCATGCTTCATGTGAAAATGTGAGTCATTGAATTGAGGATTTAGATTTTGTCGAGTACAAACAGCTCTGGTGGAACACACTTGTGAGTGTGAATGTGTTCATTGTAATGAGAGCAAGAGAAAGCAAAAATCAAGACACGTATTAGGAGTGGGAACACACCTTGTCATAGGTTCGCCCACAAAATACACAGTCAGTTCACTTCACAATATATTCTGTGAAGCACTTTGTTATGTCTCAATGACATGATAAGGCACTAATCAAATGCAATGATTATTATTATATCATAACACACCTTAACACTGGTGGGAACATTTTCAGTTTGTATATTTTAGGCCCATTGTTTTAGATTAATATTAGTATCTGAAGACGTATCAACCTCGGGTGACTGAAACCTCCCCTCTCCTAGTTCCAAAAAGTTAATTTTAAAAAAATTAGGAAAAAGAAATTGAATTTAATAACTGAAAGGTGATTCAGGGCCACTCCCCGTTAGTTAAGTGGCACAGGTTCTAATCTCAGACCTAGCTGTTGCGATGGAGCAGACTCTGTAGTCTGTCATTTATTTTGTTTGCAGAATGTCTTCCTCCTTTCTCTTTAGATAAAGGAGAATGTTATGAGGGATATAGAGGAAAGGGTTGCAAATATGAGTGGGTCAGTATATTTCAACAGTAAGCCCTAAAGCAAGCTGTACTTATTGTATTTCATCAGGTTCAAGTCCAAAACCTGAAACAAATTCTATGTAGCACTCTTGGCTCTGGGTCACAAGGTTCTGGGTTCAATCCCCACATCTGGACTTTGCTTACACATTCGAGGCTCAGTGTAGTGCTGGGGCTTGCATTGCTGGAGTTGCCAAGGTGCCGGATGCTTTATTTAGGTGGGCATCAAAGATCCCTTGACACAATTTGAAAAGGGAAGGGACTTTCTCCTGGTCACCAATCTCCCAGATTAATGGTCACATCTGTGTGTTTGTTTCCCTTCGATTAGCTGTGAAGCACTAAGATATTTAATAGGGACTGCAATAAACAACCATTTATTATTATTATTATTTACAAAGTGTCTTTCACACGGGATAGCGTCTTGGAGAATTAGAGCACAATATAAAATAATAATCCTTGCATTTGATATAGTACCTTAATAATAATTAATAACCCTTATATATGGTACAGTGTTTTTCATGTCCTAAAGCACTCCACAGGATGTACTCTAAGTGGAGTGACTGTATGTTGTGGGCAGATGCAACAGCCAATTTGCACAGCAATGTCCCTCAAAAGTGAATGATCAATTTCATTTTGGGGATTGTTGGCCAGGACATCGCAAGAAATTCCCTTCTCTTTTCGAATCATGCCATGGAATCATTAACATCAATGTGAACAGGTAGATGGGAACTTGGTTTAATGTCTCAGCACCTCTGACAAGGCAGCACAACCCCAGCACTGCACTGGAGTGTCAGCTTAGACTACATGAGTTCCAAGTTCCACTGTAGGGCTTGAATCCATAACCTTCTGACTCAGAGATGAGAGTGCTACCACTGCCCCAGCCTGACACACCATCGACGTACCTGACATACCTTATCAAATCATCAGAAGTCTTAAAGTGCTTCATGGGATTTTACTGCAAAATGTACTGATTGTGTGTTTGTAAATGTATTTGGTAGCCAATCTGCACATAGGAATGTTCCACAAATAGCCATGATGTGATTTATCTGGGTGATTATTGGCCAGGGCACCAGGAGAACCTCCTCTTTTGAATAGTGCCATGGGATCTTTAACATCCATTGAAGCACGCAGATGGGACCTTTGTTTGATGCCTCAACTGAAGGATGGCACCTCTGAAAATGTAGCACACCCCCAAAACTGTAATAGAGTGTCAGCCTAGACTGTGAGTTCAAAGACCAACATGAGGCTTCAACCCACAACTTTCTGACTCAGAAATGAGAATGCTACCAACTCAGCCAGACTGATACATTGACAACTACAAAGTGGGGGCTTTGAAGGTAAAGCCTGTATAAGAGGCTTCTCCGCCTTTATTAAATGTAGCTATCCCAAATTGACAACTTTTTCACAAGAATACACAGTATTTTTCTTTATCCATAAAAATACTGAACAGCTGAAATTCTTTAACAATTGTAACAATAATATTATTATTATTATTTAACAATTGTATTCCCAATTGGGCATGACTTAAATTGGCAAAACCAGGAGGGGGAATTGTGAGAAAAGGTGTCTGGTATTCAGGTACAGGTCCTGTCTCAGCAACTGTTAATTAAGTGATTGGAAAATAATTGTTGCAGTTCCCGTCACCACACACAGGAAACATACTCCAGCAAGTTACAAGAATTATAAAAGTCAGGGTCTCAGACTCTGCGCTATTACACGAGCATCACTCTACATGCAGGAAACATTTCCCACATTTTCTTGTGTTCCTCCGCAGTGTTGGCTGAAGCCATAGAATGAGAACTGGTGAGTGGCAGCCTGAGGCTGACCCCAGTGAAGGAGGCAGGCTGCCATGAGGCTCAGTCATGCTCTTACTTGTTCTGAACCTTTACATAGCAGCCTTGTGTTTCGATCATCATCCCCACATCACCGATACTGTCCTCAGTGTTCAGAATTTGAATAAGTTGTGTTTTGAATAGCAAAACCAAAAAGGATTAAAGACCCTGCAGGATAACAAAGATCACGTCATGAGTCGGTGAGGGCAGCTGAATATCAGTTCTCATTAGCCTGGACACACATTATGGTTTATTAACCCTTCAAGACCTCCTATAGTCTGATCTAAAAACTGCAATACAGTATACTAGAGCATTGAAGTTTTTATTTGAAAAATTCCAACAAAATGACTAATTTATAAATGGTCTGTACTTCACTCATTTCTCTAATCCCATAATAATAATAATCAGCATTGGACATTTATGAGAAATCTTTCTCTGTAGCTGTTCTGTTGGAAAAGATGTGTGTTATGTGTAGCAAAAATGGACTTTTAATGCTCATGAAAACTTAATTGATACAGCACTTAAGTGGAGTGGTGCATTAAGTTTAAATACCTCTGACTTAAACTCATAAGGGCCATAATTTCTAAGTGCCCTTAACTGGTGAGACGATTTTAGCTTAAAATTCAAGATATAAATTCTGGAAAGTTGTTCAGTTCAGTCTTAGTTTGGAAGCTAATTTTCCATAGTTTTTATGAACATCTGGCTTCAAATTACCACTGAATTTCTACAATGTTGCATTGTCGTAGGTGCTGTGCTTCGGATGAAATGTTAAACCGAGGCTCTGTTTGCCTGTTCAGGCAGACGTTAAAGATCCCATGGCACTACTCAAAAGGAGAAGGAAGTTACTCTCTGTGATATCCGGTCAACAACCCCCAAATAAAATTGGTCATTCATTTCATGGCAGTTTGTAGCACAATGCTGTGTGCAAATTATCTGTCACATATGCCTACAAATACAAAGTAACTACTTCACAGCAAATCCTGTGAAGTGCTTTGAGACATCTTGACCACATGATAAGGCATTGTATAAAATGCAAGGATTATTGATAAGTGATTAGAAATAGAATCTAATTTGAGGCATTTCCTAATAGAACTCTGAAATAAGGAATCTGAGTTGAGCAAATGGGATTTTCTTCTGGTAACTAAATGCATCCTGTTTGTTGGGCTCCCCAGCTCCACTCTCCACAATCTCCAAATCATCCAGAACATTGAAGCTCCTATCCTCTCTCAAACCAGGCACCACAAGTTCATCATCCCCATCCTTGCCTGGCTCCATTGGTTCACTACCACTGGATCGACTTTAAGATCCTCTCCTCACCTTCAGATGCTTCCCAGGCTTCCCTCCACTGCAACAACTCTAACCTATTTCTTGCTCCCTTCCCCCATCTCCATCCATCTGGAGCAAACAATGGGTTATTGAAGAATCAATGGGAATGCTAACAGGATCGTTATTGAGGCCCTGATAAGAAATATTCTTTTTTTAGGAAATGACAGGTGAAAATAAGCAGAGTGTAGTAAGCAGAGTATGTTTTACCTTTACGAATGGAGTGTGGTTGTACAGTACATCAATCTTTCATGGCATTGTGTATTGTAGAATGAACCCTTCTCTTTTGTCTTCAGAAGTGATGATTGAGTCATGTATTTGAAATGCAAAGTGGCACAGACAAACCATGTGTCAACATGTTATTCACTGTGCGAGCATAGAATAAGGAGATATAGGTACATAATTTACAACCCTACTGTGAGATCAGAGATAAGAAACAACATTTTTCCCACAATGCAGTGGGTATGTAACAAAACTCCCAGATACAGGGTTTATTTTAGCATCTGAAATAACACCTGAAACATTGGATAAATACTTTGTTGGCGAAAGGGTTTGAGGGCTATAAGCATATTTTTCCAGGTATCTGGAAAATGGGGATGGGTGCCAAAATATTACCGAAAACGCAGTAATTCTATAGTAAATCTGTGGCCACTTTTGCCGTCAATTTGCTCATTCCATTTAGTTCAGTTGGCCAAACTATGGCAGTAGTAGGTATAATAATAATAATAATAATAATCCTTGCATTTTTATATAGCGCTTTTCACGTCGGGAGGACATCCCAAAGCGCTTCACAGAAAACACTGTAAAGTGAATTGACTGTACATTTGTGGGCGAACGCGGCAGCCAATTGCGCACAGCAATGTTCCACAAACAGTCGTAGATTGAAGATGACCAATTTATTATTGTTTTTGGTTTTTGGAGGGATTATTATTAGGAGTGTGGAGTAAGGAAACTTGCCCAAGGTTTCGCCCTGCCTGGAATTGAACTCAGGTCTCTTGCTTGCAAAGCGAGTGCTCTAACCACTGAGCTACAGGACTCCACTCCAGGTATAGGAAAGAATGAAAATTACATAGGATTACAGCTTACTTACATTCAAATGTTTCATGCTAATTACAAGCTAAAACTTTAACTTGATGGGGTTTATAATCTTCCCACAGACCATATGTTGTTGCTATAAATGGCATGTA